CTTCCCAAACCAGGATTCTTGCTGGAGGCAGGGATGGATTTGTCTCTTAAACAACACAGAGCCAGGACAAACCCAGTGTACCTGCTTTGCTAAGTGACCATTGCACAAGGCTTGCAGACAGGAGACTGCTAAATCCCAGAGGGCACTGACAGGTGACTCCATTCCAAAAAGAGAGGAAACTCCACCTTGGGAAACCATTACTGCTCGTTGCAGACACGGCTGGGAGGAATACAGGTAATGAAGGATTAGTACCGGAGAGACAGGAAAGAAGGAATCTTAAAGTAAGTTTGCAATTCCTTTTGTGCCCAAGCAAGGCAAGTGCAGTGGACACACACAGACGGTTACTTTCTCACACACCTGCAAAACCTCTTAGGAGGATTAAACAAGAGCTTGTGGAGTTCAGCACAGTAAGGCTATATTCTGAAGGGGCTGGGATGGTTTTTCCCCTTGTACATAGTAGTCTAACAAAACAAAAGTCTGACGCTTTCCTCCAACACCCTTATGGCAATAGTATGTAAAATTCACGTATCCTTCTGAACACAGCTTCTTTTTCCTTTCCTGTGTAACTAAAAACAAAGCGGTTTGTGCCTGTAACAACCATTTATAACGTCTTTAAAAATACATCTTAATGCCTTTGGCTTTTCATCATTATTTTCAGCAGCTTAAGTCAACTGGGAACAAGATTCGTGGGTCTCGTGTTGTAAGAACACAACAAATCAAGTTCTCATAGCAGCAGCCTGCCCTACCAAAAGGGGTAGCCTTAACATAAAGGAGAAGATAAACATTCCATATCCATAATTAGATAAATAATACTTCAGGCAAGATATGGCACCTTTAAAAGTGCCTTTTCAGCCTTGGATTTTTTTCTCTGCTTGTTACTACAGAAACCATCTAGCAACCAGAATCTAAGGCAGACTCCACCCAAAACAGAGAAAAACAATATAGACAGAGTAGGCTTTTCCTTCCCCCCACCCCTTTTATTTCCCCCCCTTTTCCTTCCCCCTCCCCTTTCTCTTTTGGAAGGGTGGGTGCTAAGGAAAAGCCTCTTCACTGTGCAAAGGACAGGAGCGTTTTGCATGCAGTTGAAACAGTAAAGCTCTGATTACAGATGGCAGAAATGAAAGCAGGGAATGAGTAATGAGCAATGAGAAATGCGTAATGCGGGATGAGGATATAATTTCCACACATCGGCTAAAGAAAGGTTTACACTCTTAAGCAATAAAAACAAACCATTAAGCCAGACCTGCACTGTCAGGAAGTATAAAACAGTTCTTGAAACTCTGCAGTTACTATACAAAAGCTTTTCATAAACTTTTGTTTCCTGATCTTTCATAAAACATTAACATTATGTTCTTTCATAAAACATTAACATCAAGCTGCCATATGGCAATTAGCTGCCTCCTGAAATCAATAAAAGAAAACCCCAAAAATCAACAAGTTTAGGAATAGCTCCATAATAAAATAGTTCAATAATTATCCTCTTCTAATAGCGGGTCTAATATAAATGCAATCCAGATGAGCTCCTTCTCCAAAGCTCAGAGTACAATAAATCATGTTCCTCTCCAAGCCTCATCAGTACTGACTGTACAAGCAGGACCTCTGACTGCCTAATGGAGTGCAAGCAGGTGATAGTTTGGGGACCCCCAAACACAGTCATAGGAGCAGGAAAGGTCTCAATGCCTGGCTATGATGAGCCCAGGTTAGCGCAGCAGAGCAGATCCTGCTGTGCTGAAAATGGCCAACGCTCTCGGGAGAGCTTACCTCAACTGAAGATCTTCCCACGGCATTTCTACATGTTGCTGAGCACAGGAGTCCAACTGAATTGTGCCCCAAAATTACCAAGCCACTCGACAAAGCTGTTACTGACTCTCAAAAGGACAAGGGGAGATGCTGATCACATTTGTGTTTAGAGAGATGCTTATCTGAAATGCACAAAGGGTGATATTATCTATCACAATCTCTAGCTATATAGGTTGTACAAGTGCCTAGAAGCAGTATGTTTAGGGGAAAACAGGCTATAGGGTAACAAAGGCAGTTTTGCCTTCCAGATCTTCTGCTTTTTCTCCTCTTAAAGAAGAAAATAAGACCAAAAAGCTCATTTCTTCTTGTAGAGCACTATAACACTAAGTACTACTAACGAACTAAAGTGCGACTAAAGAACTAAAGGAAGTAGACTACAGAACAAAAGTAAGTCCTACTAAAGAACTAAAGTACTGGAGCACTGTGGTAACAGCATACCTTTAGTTTTTAGGACTATTTAGCACTCACTACCAGACTTAGATGATGATTCTGTGTCAGAAAGCCCAAACCTTCAGGAAGGACTGTCTGATCATCAACCCTATTTTGCAGGGTTCAGGAACCCAGCTGATCTCTAGGAGAATTTTCTACTACTCCTGTATGACAGTCTGATTCAACTCTTCTATTTGCAATCCCAAACAAGCTCTTCAGTGCAGCACTCTCACAATCTAGAGAGAGGGGTTAAGGATTTAAGGTACGTTACAAAACCAATTCTGCAGAAATTTATTGATGTGCTGAGCTTGACACATGCCCATGTCCTCCTCAAAATCAGCACAGAACCGGTGATCCTGTGACTAACACTAAGCAGGATAGAAATGCTTACAAGAATGGGTCTTAATAGGTTTACAATTACACATTGGCCTCAGTGTATTTTACTAAGGATGCAAGTCTTTCTCAAGCAACAGGAGGTTTGCCTTTACAAGGAATGCGGCATCACGCCATGAGCCAGCTACTGCTCATGCATAGACAAGCGCCGTAGCCAATTTTTGTGAAACAAGATTAGCATCAACGTGCTCTCATGCCTTACAGGAGAAGTAAAGCAGTCACCACTGTAAAAAGCCTCCCTCAATCTAGTCACAGATGAAGGGCTGGGAGCTGTGAAACGGAAGCCTTACAACGCTGGAGTGTAAGACCTGGTTAGAAGCGCTGTGGGCTCTTTACAGATCTCAGTAGGTTTGGGATCATACCCTTCCTGCTCACAGAAATGGTGCAGTCTTCAACTTTTCAGCACTTTCTGTCCAGCTTTTGCAAGCTGAGGCTCCAGCGTATGTTAGCATTGCCATAACTTGACTGGTACAACTGTGCATTGCAGACAACCAACAAATCACAGCATCACAGAATCGTTGGGGTTGGAAGGGACCTTCAAAGCTCATCTGGTCCAACCCCCCTGCAATGAGAAGAGATATCTTCAACTAGCTCAGGTTGCCTGGAAACACATCCAGGCTGGCCTTGAATGTCCCCAGGGATGGGGCATCCACCACCTCTGTGGTCAACCTGTGCCAGTGTTTCACCACCCTCATTGGAAAGAATTTTATCTTCACATCCAGCCGGAATCTTCCCTCTTTTAGTTTGAAACCATCACCTTTGTCCTGTCACAACAGGCCCTGCTAGAAAGTCTCTCCCATCTTTCTTATAGGTCCCTTTTAAGAACTGAAAGGCTGCAAAAAGGTCTCCCTGGACTCTTCTCTCCAGGCTGAACAACCCCAACTCTCAGCCTTGCAGACCCTTCACTGCAGCATATCCTGTGCCCGACAACCTTGCCAAAGCAACGGCCATAAAGTGCTCATCACCACTCACACACTGGCAACAAGCAAAAGGCAAACTAAAGCTCTGCATATGTCTTGTTCCCCCCTACACACATGAGCCAAGAAAACAGCACTGCTCTTTTGATAAAGCAGAGGTTGCCCACCCAGCAAGGCTGTAGGCTACCACGTAGCATCAGCATGACAATAACATCAGCTACCTCTCAGAAATACTGCTGGTACAAAGAAACACAGAAGTCGTTATCATGCCACACAAGCTTACAAATAGTCTGAGAAACCTTTAAGAAAAATGGGAGCAGCAAACAGGAAATCAGTTTTTCTCTCATATTCTCTGTACCCCTTGCTTTTTGTGATGATGAGCCCTAGAGAACTGTTCTATATGAAGACCTCTAAGCCATCAGGTCAGCCTTTCTGATCAACAAACCTATGCAGTACCTTTGCTGTAACTCAGACAATTCTAGGGAAGGAGGAGGAGTTTGGGGAGGGCAGTGAGAAAGAGGAGGGTTCTGTTAATAGAAAGTTAGGCTAGTAGGAGACCCAAATCAGAGATTCCCAGAATTGCCTTACAGAGGTCTCTAATGGGCCAGCTGCACACATGGCTTTAGGAAGTGTTGCCTCAGTTCACCAAATCCAGAAATGGATCCGTAACAGAACACAGGGGAGTTCTGACATCTCTGGAGATATCACCACAGTCATTATATACCCTCTAAACACAGTGGAGAGCTCCTGAAACAGGCAGCAACTCACCACCAGCAGTCTAACACAATCTCATTCCATTCCCAGTTTCAGTGCACTCCACAATGGATTGCCAAGAAGCCGGTTTAAGCTACTTTCCCACTCTACTACTTCAGCACAGCTTTCACACAACAAGCAACCCAGCCTCTACATGCTCATCCCAGGTTCTACAGCTAGTAACCTGACTGCCCTACCAGTCTTCAACTACAACAGGCACGATAAGCATCAGCTTTAATGCTTTTGCCCCTACAGGAAGGATTTGAAGAGCAAGAAGTTATAAGCACAAGTGATCCTTGTGATTACTGCACAAGTGAAGCATTTTTTCCTTACAGACTGGACTTTTCAGAAAGAAAGATCAGAGTTTTATGATTTATTATCTGACACGGATTGAAACATTTGGGAAAGGGGGAGGAAAAAAGGCTTTCAAACACAAAACCCTGGAAAAGAAGGCAAGCCAATCTGCAAACCAGCAAACCCACCAGCTGAGGTTAGACGGGAGGCTGCATACGACAACAGCTTGCTGCATGTAGGACAAGACCTGAAGATTAATGTCACTACAACACGCCATAGAAATGAGCTCTCCTCTGAGGTGAGGAAGTATGCAATGCTCTTCCAACTGGTAAAGACAAGGGCTGGTACAAATAAAGCATCAATTCCTCTTTAGCAATACATAACCACCAAAAATTAAAAAAAAAAAAAAAAAGATGACATTTTAGTTTTTATTATTTTATATTTGGCCAGGACTTTTAAAGGAAGGACTTTGAAAGGAAACATCAAACATTCACTTTTCTGTAGGTCTAGAAAGGATTCAGCCTTCCCCCCCCCACCCCCCTCCCCACCTCCCATAGGGTTTCTATTGGCCCTTCTTAAATTCACACTGCAAATTAGGTGGGAATCGCAGTATTTATACTAGCTCAGCAACGTCTGGTTCTTATCCAAATGTTCCACCTAAAGAGGACGCCAGTTCTCATGGATTGGACAGCCCACCCTGCAGCATTCCTGAGAATTGTACAATATAATCTTGAAAGTCAGCAGAGTGGATTATCCACTTCTTTTTTCTGGACTTGAACTTGTGACCTTAACAGTAGCACAGCAGAAAGCAAATGTGCTATGCACTTTGCCATAGTAACCTTCCATGTATTCTGGTTTTTTTTTCTTCTCCAACTTAAATACACACAATGGAAACAGCTACAATTTTGGAAAATTATGTACAAACCCTATATTTTTTGTTCTTTTTGATTACATATAAATACAAATTAGCTATTCTTCTAAAAAGTGGTTATAATAGGAAATAAATACAAAATAAGAATCTGACCATTATACTTCATGTGCTGGGGTGAACCCCATATAAAATGTACAACTAAAATACATTTAATCTTTAAAGGAATATTTCTCTGATTAAAATATTTGTTTTCCCAACTTTTTTTTTTTCTTTTCGTAGACATAAATATATTTTCAAAATAGTTGTGTTTTTTTTTTTCTTTTTCTTTCCATTTCATTACATAAATAAAGTCTTCATTGGGAAATATTAAAGTGTCAGCTTGGGGGGGGTATTTTTAACCTTTTGTATTTGTCTAATATATTTTTGCTGTGTCAGCGGCACCCACAACCCTCCACAACCATATCTTGATAGTTCTTTAATACAACTTTTTCATTTTCATCAAGGTAGAGCATGGAAATAGCACTCAGTTCTGTCGGCACACAGCAAGCCTTGGGGATTTTGGAATTCACTGAATTGACCAAAGTCTGAACAATGGCATGGTTTGTTGAGTTTAGATGATCTGCCAGTGGAAAAGGACATTCCCCGTGGCAGTAAAAGGCACTATACCCCGGTGGGGCAACAATCCAGTCATTCCACCCCACATCATTGAAGTCCACATATAACGGATGCCTTTTGCAACTGTATTTGTGGCGTTTACGCTGTTTGTGTTTCGCTTGACGCTTTTCTCTTTTATGGAGCGGGTGTCCCTTGCCATCATGCCCAAACGTTACTAATAATGGCCTGAGCTGAGACCAGCTATCTTCATCCTGATGTAAAGACCTGCTAATCCTAACGTGCCTCTTGGAGGCACTGTTCTCTTTGTCCAAGTGAACCACCTCTACCACAAACCCATGATTAGGTTGTCCATGTGCAATCCACCTCAAAACAGCTGGCGTTACATCAAAACTTTCCCATTTACTTGCATTATGATGCACCAACCTGGTGTCCAAAAGTCTTGTGACAGGGTCCTTAGAGGTGGCTGTGGCTGGCTTTATAATTTCATAAATATTAATACGGTGATGGTAGCTGCTGTTGTTCTCAAAGGCTCCGTGCACCTGCTTCCGAAAAATCTGGAGTTCAGCTGAGGTGATAGACTCCTCATTAGGGATGGAAGTTAAATTAAAGAAGAAACGCCGTGCTGTTTTCCCACTTGTTTCTGGCAGTTCTTCCAAAACTTCTAATTTGATTAAACAGGGAAAACAGAAAGAAAGAAAGAAAAATCAGGAACTGAGACAAGCAACCAAACCGCTTGCAGTCTGCTGCTGGCAGCTTTCAAACGATAGCTAACGCATGTAACACACGAGACTTTCGGCTGGGAAACGCCACCTCCCTTGTCTTCATTTACACAAGCACGTATAGCATGGAGTTAAGGGTGCTTCACTCACTGTCAAGCATTTTGATTGCACACCAGTGCCCTTTGCATTCCAGTGTGGCAAGAACCACAGTGCATTATGCTGGAATCCAAGGACATCAGTGAGAAAACTCAAGCCTGACAGCGCGGCTCTGATGTGAATCGTTACAACTGGTTGAGGACTTGAGGCAACTGTTGCATTTCTGCCCTTTTCAAGAAGGTGGCTCTAACATCAATCCCTTAAACTCCACCCTGAAAAATATCATTCCACAGTTTAGGTGACTTAGAAATATTAACTTCTGGATTCCTGTATGTTGATTAGAAACAGTGAACTTAAACTCTGTAACAGCGCTTTATGAAGCGCTCCCTAGGATGTACCCAAAAGGGCCACGAAGAATGGCGGGAGCTGAAAAGGGGTGGATGCTGGAGGGATAATGAAATAAAATTGCTTCTGAACAACAGGTTTCTCAAAACCACACCAAAAAATAAACCTGAAAAGTCACCGAACCCCAGGCCATTCTCGCCTTTGAGTCAACAAGTAACTGAATGGAGCCTCAGAGGGAGTAAAATGTACCTAAGGTTGCTGCTACAACCACTGAAGTAGTTACAAGTATTTGCCAAAGCAATCCTCTTTCAAATCAATTTTGGTTTCTATTTTGGGTGCTAAGCATCCTGGAGAAACACTCACTTTCGAAGGGGAAGCCCTAAGTGCTGTTAGCAGTTCTTGGTCACATAACCATTCCCTGTTGAGTCCAGTGCAACTTTTGGATAGGGGAAGGCTCAGGTTTCCGGGAGCGGATCAGTATTTGTAAACATGCAGATGTTCTGAGCGGTCACAAGACCAAATCCTGCTTTCAAGAAGCCAGGAACAGGGTGAGCACTCAGTGAAAAAATGGAATGGTATTGATCTTCTTCTAAACTTTGTGACAATTATAGAATAGCTTTTATGCCAAAAACTGTGCTTTTTTGACTACTTCAAACTGCAGGTTTTTACATTTGCCTAGAAATCATAAACTTTGCCCTCCGAGTTCCTCTCTTGCTCAGCCCCTTGCCTACCACGCTAATGTGAATAACCCCCACACCGGCTTTTCTCCATTCATTGCTACGTGTTTTCTTTCCGCGGAACGCGGACGATGAGAGGTTACATTTCATCATCCATCTCCTTCCTCACGATACGGCTTCCCACCAAACAGCACATCCACTTCTCCAAGACCCCCTCTTTCATTCATCGGAAACATTCAATATTAACCGATTCCTTTTCCCAACGCAGTTTCACTTTAGAAGCATGGGGAAAACTGCGTTTTCATTACAACTACAGCGGGGCCACTGCATGCCAGCACTGGAGAAGAGCAGCCTCAGGAACAATTACAACCTGGGGAAACATTTCCCAAAGAGCACGCGAGCGACACGCGCCCCACCGGCTCCACGGGCCTACCCCGTGCCGTGGCCAACGCCACAGCCGCTGTTTCAGCTCCGTGGGCTGAGAAACGCATCCGAGCTGCTTAGAGGGTCCCTGGCCTCGGTGGGCTGCAGGCCAGGAGGGATAGGGATGCAGCCGGTCACCGCGTTCCGCTTTGGGCTGGGTTATCTGCAGGTGAGAGCCCAGATCTGGCCACAGGGCTTTTACCAGCCTGGGCGCTGCTGGTTGGGGAGGAATAGCTTGGGTCCGGGCTAAACCGCTCCTCGACGGCAGCGGGGCGAGGGAGGGGGCTTGAGGAGGGCGCGACCGACCGTTGCATCGATCTCTCACGGGGATGAGATAAGGATTAGAAACCCCCGCAGCCTCGGAGAGACTTCCCTGCGCTTTACCCTCGCGAAGGGAAAGCCACCTGGGGGAACGCTTAGCGTGGAGCCGCTTTAGCAAATAAACCGGGAGCCTCTCGTCGGGAGAAGAAGGAGGAGGAGGAGGAGAAGCGAGGCTGGCTGCGCGCCACAGCAGCAACCCCGGCGCCTGCCGCCGAGGCCGTGGGAGCGCGGCCGGCTGGAAGCGCACCGCCGCCCCGGTGAATCCAACACACCCGCGTTACCGGCGCTCCCGGGGAGGAATCCACCCCGACGCTCCTCCTCCTCCTCCTCCTCCTGCGGCCCTCCCCCTTTTCCCCTCCGCTCCGCGCCCGCCACCGGCCCCCCGAGCCCGTACCTTCGTGGTGGAAGCTGCGGACGGTGTTGGCGCGGCTGGCGGCCCGCTCCAGCGGGTACCCGAGGGCCGGCGGCTGCCCCTGCTGCTGCCCGGCGTGCAGGCGGTAGAGGTCCAGCATGTAGGGAGGGATGACGACGTCCTTGCCGGGGCTGGGCCGCCGCTTCAACCCGAACATGTGGAGCAGGCGCAGCTCGAACTCGCTGAGCAGATCCTCGGGGCGCTGCGCGGCCGAGGCGGCGCGGCCCGGCTCGGTGAAACGCCGCCGGCCCACCTCCGGCATGAGGCCGGCCGCGCCGCCCAGCAGCGCCTGGCAGAGCAGCAGCGCCAGGAGGGAGCGGGTCGCGGCAACCATGATCAACCTGCGCGGAGGAGGAGGAGGAGGCGATGGGAGCCAGTCAGCGCGGACACCGCGCCGGGGGAGCGCGCCGCGGGGTTGGGGGGGGCGGCGGACGGGGACGGTCCGCAGGTGGGTCCTACCCCGGAGGGGCTCGGCGCGGAGCCCATGGCGAGCGGCTCCGACCGGCCCCGAGGCGCGGAGGAGCCCCCCGCGGGGCCGCTTCAGGTGCGCGGCGGGCGGCGGAGCGAGGCACGAAAATCCCCGTGGCAGGAGATCAAAGGGGACGGGACGGGGCGGGGGAGCGGAGCGGGGCGATCCGCAACAAAGGAGCGCGGCGGGGAAGGGGAGGAAAGGGGCGGACGGGGGCACCGCCGGGGCCGGGCCGCTGCCCTCAGTGGGGCGCAGGTGTGCGCCGGGACGGGACGGGCCTCGCCTCGCCTCCCGCCGCGGCCGCTCCGGGACCAGGCTGGGGCTGCTGCCCCGCCGCCGCGCAGAGCGACCTCCCCGCTGCGCTCCCGTCCCGACCCGAGGGGACTCGGGGCCGGCTCCGCTTTCCGCCGCTCCCGGGAGGGGCAGCGACTTTCCCCAGTGGAGAGAGAGGGAGAAGCTACCTTCCCTCTGCGGGGTGGGAGAAGGGGAGGGAGGAAAACACAAATCCTGCTACGTCCTTAGCCAAACCCACAGGGTGATATTCTCCCCCGTGAAACTCTGCGCTGGGTTATTATTATTATCGTTATTATAATTGTTACGATTAGTGTCCCGTCCCCCCTCTCTCTTCCAGAGCGCTAGCACCTCCGCCGTGGCCCACGGAGTCATCCTGCGGAGGAGGCTTTCAGCGGGTCTGCGACCGCCGGGGTTATACCTGTGTGCAGCAGCAGCAGGGGTTGTGTCTGCAGGAGGGTTTTCTGCTCTCGGGGTGTTTTTCCCGCATCACTTGGTGTTACTCCGAACTTCGCTGCTGCTCCTCTACAGCTGCCGAGCAGAAAAGAGAAGTTCTCTGAAGTACGGTCCGCCTCAGAAACATACTTTTAGCAGCTGGGTGAGGAGGCAGAAGGCAAGTCCCGGCCAGGGAAGAAGGGCTTCTCTCTTTTAAAAGCAGCGATCGAAAAGTTGTTGCTTCTTTTTTCTTCTTCTTCCTCCTCCCCGAGTGTGTGTGCGTGTGCCTGCCCGTGAATGGGTCCCTATGTGTCTACGGAGTTAAAAAGCTCCTTTTCAAAGCAAAAAAAAAAACAAAAAAGTCCTTTTGCATCACCCGCGTCGGACAGATGGACATTTACCGAGGCTCCCGCAGCGGCATTAAGGCGAAGCTTGACTTTTCCCCGCTCCCTTAAAAAGAAAGAAGAAAAGAGGGAGGAGAAAGGAGGGGAAAAGGAAAGGGAAAAAAAAAAAAAGAGGGTGGGGAGCGACGGCTTTAGGGGACAGCGCCCGGTGCCCGGCCCGCCCCGCACCGCTCCATTGCCGGGGGTGCCCGCCCGCCGCCGGGGCTTTTTGTTGCGCGGCGATGTCACGACCCCGGAGGCTCGCAGGCCCGCTCCAATCACAGCTCCCTGTGGGAGCGGGCTGCGGCCCCGCACGGCTTTTTAAAGGAGACGCCGCCTCCCTCCCTCGTTCCTTCCCTCCCTCCTCCTTCACCCGTTCTCCTCCTTCCCTCGCTGAAGCTGCCCGCCCGCCCCGTTAAGCTGTGGGAAGCGCCGGCACAGTTCCCCGCATCCCATTCCTTACGGCGGAGGGGCACGGCCGCCCGGATCGGGATGCGGGATCGGGTCGTACAATACCCCATTGTACCGCAAATCGGATTAGCACCGTGCCCCGGCCGGCTGGGGTGGTAAGGTGTGAAGGTCACGTAAGGTATCGGGAGAATCCCGGTGCTCTAAAAGCACTTTAACAACATACATAGTTACTTTATTGCGTGCGAGCCTGCGGGAAGAGGGCTGGAGAGCCGGGGGTTTCCTCGTTGTCCTCGGAGGAGTCTCCTTCCCTGCTGCGGGCTCAGCCCCAGCCGAGCGGAGGGCTGGGTTTGGGGTTTGGTGTGAAGGGGTTTTTATTAAGATGTGGCTGCCCTCCAGTGGTGGAAATGCGGCGGATCTCACAAACCCCGGCATCGCCATCAGAAACCAGCCCAGCGACTCAGCCCGGCACCTGCCTCCGGTGCGCACCGGAGCGCCCCGGTCTGCGGGAGCCGACAGCGCATCCAGGCACGGAGTAGGACAGCGGGGGTGAAGAAGGCAGGCACATGTTCAGTGAGATTCGGCTCCCAGTCCGAGCTCCCTTTGCTGATATGGGCAAATCTCTTCATCCCGATGCCATTTAATTTGTGCCACGGGATGCATCCTATGTCCCACCTCCTGTTCGCCTGCTTTGGCTCTGCAGCAGGACCCGGCCCTTGTTGCACAGGCATGTGACACCCGGCAATTTTGGGTCACAGAATCAACTAGGTTGGAAAAGACCTTTAAGATCACCAAGTCCAACCTTCACCCCGGCACTCCCAAGACCACCACTAAACCACTAAGGGCCTCATCTACACAGTGTTTGAACACTTGCAGGAACAGTGACTCCAGCACTGCCCTGGGCAGCCTGTCCAATGCCTGAGCACCTTTTGGTGAAGAAATTTTTCCTAATACCCAGCCTAAACCTCCCCTGGTGCAGCTTGAGGCTGTTTCCTCTTATCCTAGCACTAGTTCCTTGGGACAAGGAACCCTCATCTCACCGCATGTCTCATACAACCTCCTTTCAGGTAGCTGCAGAGAGTGATAAGGTCCCCCCTGAGCCTTCTCCCCCTCAGTTCCCTCAGCAGTCCTTAAAGCCAAAGCCAGCGGCATGGGGTCCCAGTGCTAGTGCAGCAAGCCCTGTGAATGCCTTGCGCTGCACCTCCTCTTCCACCCAGACACCTCTCAGGGGCTTCATCTGCAAAAGGCACAGCCAGCCTTTGACACCTTGAATTACTGCGGAGGAGGATTTAAAGCAATAACAACCGAGATGGCTCCATCACCAGCTCCTCCTTTGGGAGCGGCCTTTTCCCTCCATCTTGCTACTTTCCAACTGTAAAGCCACCGATTTGAGGCAGAAATTCAGCAGATTTGGACCAGAGTAATTCTTCCTGTGCTCCATGGCTTTTCCACTGTGTTAGAGTGACTTCAGCTCTACCTGCCAAACATCACTGCATGATGAGGAGCTCACACAGAGAGCTACATACCAGAGTAAGAAACCACCTCAGAACTACACCAGTCTAATTAAAGAGCTAGTAAAGCTCCTTCCTACCAACAGCTCCCAACACTTGTTAACCTGGATTATCACTCTCCGCTGTGAGTACAGCGGGAGAGGCGATGGAGCAAGGTGAAATCCTTCAAAAGTGTAGCTACTCTTCCGTTGCATTCCAGTGCAGATAATGTTTAATTTTATGACTTCCTGCAAGTCTTTAGCATGAGCTGAAAGTGCTGTGCAGTGTGACTTCAGGGTATGCCAATTATGTAAATCAGCACTAAAATAACAATGGCAACGTAGTTTACACATCACTGACATTAAATGAGCACTTCAACTTCTAATTGCCATTCCAGTTCAATCTGTAGTGGGTCATGCCAGGAAAAAGTCATTTCTTGCCTCAACGCTTACTCCCTGTGCCTGGAGCATAGGCTGTACTGTATGCCCAGCTTCATGTTATCTCCAGGAGCTTTCTGTATTAGGATGATGAGCCTTGTGAGGGAGGAACGTGCCTGTGGTTGTTCTGAAGGCCTGCAGATGCTCTGATGTCAAAAGGGTCTTGTAGGCTTGTCCCTTTCTGATTTTAAACATAAATAGGCTCTCACAGTCCTCTGTTCTCTTGGCCATAGAACATTTCCCCTTCTAGTTTGTCCTCTCTCTGCCTATTTAGATCAGGAGCTGCTGGGGCAGTGATTCTGCCTTCCCACTTGTTTCCAGGACGTCCCAAAAGACAACATGGAAGCACTTACTACATCCTCCCTGAACGCACCGGCACCCACACCAGAACCTCAGCCGTGCTCCAGCACTTGCCCCACGTTTGATTTCTCACCAAAGCAGATCTGGCTCCCCTTCAGCCAGTGCTCTGGTGAATATGGGGAATAAGGCCCTCAAAGTGTCATCCACGAACATCTGGTTACGGTTTGTGCCTCATCAGCACAAGAAGCAACCAAATACCCCTCCGTAGAGCCCACTGCCTTTGAATACAGCATTCCAGCCTGCTCCTGCTGCATCTCTAGCATCAGCACACCTGAGCTCAAAGCTGAGAAGTATTTTTGTCATAACAAAGAACATCAGACACAGGTGTATTTAGCTATAACGAATGCAGCACTTGGTCTGTGGAATTAAGTTTAGTGTTTAGTAGAGTTTTTTGAGAGGTGATGAGCCAGTAACTCAACTAATGGTACCTGCTGCTAAGGTTTCAGGTCCAGGTGTTTATTTCCAGGACCAAAACACAGCTGATAGACCTCAACTTTAGCTGTCATTGGGTTTTCTTAGTAAAATGATAGAAAAGTATCCAAATAAGGTCAAGTTTTACAACACAGAGTCCTTAAAGCCCAGCATTTCCTTCTTACAAATACTCTACCAAGTCACATTTATATGATGCCACCACGTGGTGTCCTTTTTACCAACCTCATTAAATTGCAACCATCATTCTTGATGGCTACAAGCAAAAGACTTCATCTGGAAGACCTAAATGAGAAATTCTCACTAGGGTTTCTGACTGTAATTTGTAATCCTTAGCAAAGCCACCTAATTTCTGGTCTATTATAGAATCATAGAATCACAGATTAGTTTGGGTTGGAAGGGACCTTAAAGCTCATCCAGTTCCAACCCCCTGTTACGGGCAGGACACTTTCCACTAGAGCATGGTTGCTCCAAGCCCCATCCAACCTGGCCTTGAACACTGCCAGGGATTAGAGGCAAAGGTGTGCAGGAACACTTATATGCTCTATCCACGTTGATGGTCAACACTTCTACTCCTGGCTTCTCCAGAGCAGTTAGACCAATGCTGAGCATTAGTGAAAATTCCCACTTTGCACCGCTGTCCCCTGGATATGATAAGTACGTGACACATGAAATATTAACAGCACTGAGCTTTTCTATGGATTTTGCACATTTTAGTGAATAACCCTCTTGATAAAAATCCGTGCTGAAGCATGAAACATACACATGGTACAGCATCAAGTGCTAGAGAGGCAGCTTTTGAAAATGAGTTAAGATGTGTTAGTGATGTTGAGGTTTTGGCTTCGTAACGGGTGGAGATTATCTGAAAGCTTTTCTGTTCCTGAACTGTGCTTCCTGTTGGCATTTGTGTGAATCTGATGTGTGGCCATTCTTTACAATCCTCCTTAGCACTGTTCTCTGAAGACATACTTGTCTTCTGGTGGTTTGTCTTTTAACATCTATCAGTTGTCTCTGCTGCGCAGGCTGTCTCCTGTCCCCTGAAGGATGGATTCTCACCTGAGAAGGTAATGTACAAGATGGTGATCTGGTTTTGAAGAGGGGAAAGGCAGTTCGTTCAGAAATGTCTGTTTCTTTCTTATTCACCTTTGCTGAAATTTGGCAGCTCTTCAAAGCTCTGTTTCACTGCAAGTCTCGATTTCATTCATCAACTCGCAGCTTTCCGTCCATCATAGTGGCAGGGAAATGGGAATTTATCAGGAAATACAATGCAGACCTAGTACTTTTCTACATTTTCAGTATGCCTCCGTTTCCAGTGAACAAAAGCAGTTGCTCTCAACAGTGTTATGTCTGCAAATACAGGCTGTAGGGATCAGTTCACGTGGCTGTGCAACTTTAAATTGTAAGACAAATTCCTACAACCTGTACTAAAATTGCTGGGGAAAGAGGACAAAAAGGAAGCTAATGTGACAACCTTTTACGTTACTGTTTTCCCCTTGATGCTATAAAGTTCCAAATGTCAAAATCCAGTATTTGACCTGTGGCTTTTATCATTAAGAGGAGACAAAATGCCATAACGCCTCTGTACAGGCTGGAGAACAACTGAGCAATTACTGGACAGATTCCAAGGCACTGCCACCATTTATGTACATTTAATTACATGGAGTAGGAATAGTTACAGGCTGCCGGGCTAGGGAGATTCCATAGGCAGTGAAGTGAGTACGATTCAGGAGACCTCAGTTCTATTCCCAGTGACAGAAGTGTCCTTTTTCTTCCCTTTGCTTTTCCACCTTGGAAATGGGGATGTCCACGCTCACCCCACTTGTAAGTCCCTACAAGACCTTTAGGTAAAAGCACAAAGAGTTAGGCACTGCTATTGTTTGGGGCTAAATACTAGGTTAATGCCAATAGCAATCTCAAATACCTGGAATCCCAGAGCTTAATCT